GGTGCACTGGGAAGACCCAGAGGGATCGGGTGGAGAGGGAGGTGGGAGGGGGGACTGGGATGGGGAATACATGTAAATCCATGGCTAATTCATTTCAATGTATAACAAAAACTACTGTAATGATGTAAAGTAATTAGCCTCCAACTAAAAAAAAAAAAAAAAAAAAAATAAAAAAAAAAAAAAAAAAAAAAAAAAAAATTAAAAAAAAAAAAAAAGAAGCTAAATAGATTTAAACACAAAGAAATCCACATGTAGATACGTTTTAAAAAAAAATCCAACTGCTGTAAACTAAGCAAAAAGAAATGATCTTGAAAGCCACCAGAGAAAACAGTGTATCAATATTACTTACAGGAGGGCAATAATTCAAACAAGCATGTTTTTCTCACCAAAAACCATGGAGGTCAGAAGGCAGAGGAGCAACATTTTTAAAGTACTGAAATACAAGAGCTATGAAAACCAAATTCTGTATCCAACAAAAAAAATTCTTCAAAATGAAAGCCTCCCCTGCTTTCACCCCCCCAAAAAGGACATTCTCAAATGAAGGAAAACTAAGAATTCATCACCAACAGAACAGTTTAAGAACTGAGAAATACTGAAAGGGAAGTGCTTCAGGCTGAAGGAAGATGACACTGGAGGGAAATGTGGAACTTAAGGGAAGAATGAAGAGCAAATGAAATGGTAAACATCTTGGTAAAAACAGTCTTTCAGCTCTTTATGGCCAGAAAGCAAATAATAACACTGTCTGGGGGGGGAAGTCCATGTATGAGATGTAACACATACAACAACTATAACATACAGAGGATGGTAAAGGGACCTGTAGGGCTTCTACATTTTACTAAAGATGGTAAAATATTAATCCTAAGAATTCTGTGAAAGGTTGGGTATATATCATAATCACTAAAGCAACCACTATAAACACACACAAAGAATAACACCAGGGATAAAGATGGTAATTATGGAATGATAATAGGGTCAACTAAGAGAATTTAATGCCCTTAATGTATATGCACCTAACAATATATATTCAAAATACCTGAAGGAAAAAACTAAATAACTGAAAAAAGAAATAAACAAAGACACAACCATACTTGGAAACTTCAACACCTTTCTTTCAATAATCAATAAAACAAGTAGACAGAAAAATCAGTAATGGTATAGGAGATCTGAACAACCCTATTAACCAAAATAACCTTACATTTACAGAACACTCTACCCCCAAACCAGGAGAAAACATATACAACAGGCTTTTCAAGCATGTATGGAACATTTAATACCCCAACAGAGACCATATCCTTGTCACAGTCATAAAATGATTTTTTTTAATGGAAAAACAATGAAAAAACAATAGAGAAAAAGCAAAGAAACAAAACTCGGGTCACTTAAAAAAAAAAATAACAAATCTCTAGCAAGACTGACAAAGACAAAAGAGAAAATAAAAATCACCAATATCAGGAACAAAACAGGTGACTTCCCTCGTGGTTTGATCCCTGGTTGAGAACAAAGATCCTGCATGCCAAATCTTCTTTAAAAAAGAAAAATATTGAGAGAGGGAAGATATGTTGAACTGAAGAGGAAAAGGCTACCAGCTTTGTGGAGGTAATATCTCAGTTGACTTTGAAAGATGTCAAGATTCTTTCATAAGAGGATAAATGATGGCTTAATGTCCTGATTACAGATAAGAAATTTCAGATCCTAAACAGGCAACAGCAATGTACCAGTTTAGCTGGGGTACAGATGGAAAGAAATCAACTAAGCAAAAGTGGTACATGGGACCAGGCAATGACCTGTTATTCAGGAAAAATTCCTGAAGCCTTCAGTGCCAGTTATCAATTTATTGAGTTTTAGCTCCAAATCTAACCTTCTTTGCCCTTCTCTGTAATAATGAAGTTGGATTCTAGAAACATTTCTCCTTTGCCAGCTGGCTCAAAGTTAAGTTTTGTCAGTAGAGTGCTGGGAGGACACTGCAAAAAGAAAAAATGGGGTCTTTCCTTTCTGCTTAAGTGTACTCTAGCCTGTTTCTTCTCAAGCTTGCAGCATCCAACAATATGAGGGACACTGCATAGTGGCTCACCCTTCAGCAATGTTCAGCAGAAAGCCTAAGGGTACCTCCCCAGAAAATTCTGCCGGTGGCTCAGCTGGCTCCCCAGTTGAACACCCAGCAGGAGGCTTTCCAGCAAGTTCTTTTAGTACCCAGAAGGTGGCTTTTGATATGCCACCTCAAGCTATGGCACCAGTGAACTCTGTCATCCACTGAACCAGAGCCCCACCTTCTCCACGGAGAGCTGAATCTGAGAACAAGAAAGTTATTCTTTCCTAGGGCACACTGCCTTAGTCCTACAGTTGCTTCCCAAGTCTGTAATTACTGTATTTCTCTATGTTATCTTTAGCTTTTAATAGTTAATTCTTGGTTACCAGTTAATAACAACCAGTTAATAACCAGTTAACTTCGTAACTTTCCTGTTAAACCATGTATTGGTAGCTTCTGTCTGCTGACTGGACCCTGAGAACTACAGAACTATAACTCAAAGATAGGGATCTTTCACACACTTAATTTTAAAAGATTTAAAAGAAAGAATGCCCCAAAGCCCAGAAACAGCTCCAAGAAGCTGTTTGAGTATATTCAGGAGGCTGGAGGTTGAATTACCTCTGGGGTTTGTATGCAATCCAGATGGGATACTTTGAAAACACAGGAAGAAGTACTGACTCAAGTGAGGAGAAAAGAGGAATAGAGGGGAGGGGACCACTGAGTTAGCCTTCCCGTAAACTGGAAAATCTACACCATCAGACAAAAAGGAAACATAAGTGTTTGAAAGGCTATTTTAAATACTGATGGCTAATGACAGCCATTTGCTATACAAGTTACATTGATTCAAGACAAAATAAAACCCTGAATAATTTCTCTTAGAAACTGAAGTAGTCAAATGGTATCATGTCTCTCAAATGGATACATGTCTCTCTGAATCCCTGATTTCATTTGCAGTGTTTTGAGAGGAAAACAAAAATAGCTACCCCTTCAATATTTAGAGTCACATAAATGTAAAGTATGGTCTAGAATCAATAACCCATCAGCTAAAGTGAGAATGGGGGTTTTTCAACCAAATCAACTCAATAAATAAAATCTTTACTCAGTGAATAATACTAACTTTAAAAAGGAAATGATAAAGGTAACAACAAATGATTAAAAGCTTACAGAATTTTTTGTGAAGGTTCTGACTTTGGAATAAGCAATTCTGTGTCAAAGAGCTCAAGACTAGGGAACTATTGCCCAGTTATCATTCCTACGTAAGTTAAGAGAAAAAACAATTAGACTGTATTTTAGGCATGAAAAATTTAACAAGGAAGTGAGATGTCACAACAAATATTTAAAAACCATTTAAAATGTTCTGAAATAACTATTTATTGGCAAACGGTACAGAAACTTTTTTTTTTTAAACACATTACCAAATACCACAGAGCATCTATCTAAATTACCAATAACTGTAACAACCTGAAAGTTCCAAGTTCTTCTTTTTTAAAAATTTTTTATCTTTTCTTCCTCCCAAATGTTATTCCAACTCTTTTCACATCTTCTTATCTGTCCTCAATAGAAATGAGCTACTTTTAGAACACTCCAAAATGTTCTTTTCACCTGAAACAACAAAATCCATATCTTCTTTCTTTCCTGGGACTTCCTTGGGAAACTATCTTTAAAAGGGATTCACTTAGGAAATTAAACAAATGTAATGGAATACATGAAATCATAAGTTATTTTGAGGGGGAAATTCATGGACCTTCTTTTTCTGTTTTCTAAAAATGCTGGTATGCTTTGTAGTTATAAGGAGCATTTACTTCAAATGTTATAATATTCTAAGAATACTGTACATGTTTCTAATTAATTCATTCAAAATTCCATACTTCAGGTAAATGATTTTCAATCTTACCACCTAACTTCTCAAAGGGACTAGTACCTCAATCTTTCTCAACCAGGAGCCAATCACTTCATTTTTAATACTTCTTTTTGTTGACTGATTATGGAAAAATATATACATAATATACAAGTTACCATTTTAAGTGGCACTAAGCAGATCTGCAATGTTGTGCAACCATTACCACTATTCCTTTCTAAAACTTTTTCATCATCCCAGAGAGAAACTCTGTACCAATTAAACAGTAACTCCCTATTCTCCCTACTCTCAGCCGCTGGTAACCTCTATGCCATCTCCTGTCTCTATGAGTTTGCCTCTTCTAGGTATCTCATGTAAGTGGAACTGTACAATATTTGTCCTTTTCTGTCTGCTTATTTCATTCACTATGTGTTTTTTAAAATACATATGTATATATATACATTCTCTTTCACATTCTTTTTTAAAATTTTTGTTGTATTATAGTTGATTTACAATGTTGTGTTACTTTCCATAGTGAATCATTTACACATATACTCACTTAGTGTGTTTTTAAGGTTCATCTATGTAGTATAAATCAGAATTTCACTCCTTAAGGCTAAACAATATTCCACAGAATGTATATACCACATTTTATTTATCCATTCATCTGCCAACAGATATCAGAGCAGCTTCCATTTTAATATATTTTAAAATGAAACAATATAGTAGGAAATAACCAAAATTATGCAAGATTCTTCAAAATGGGGGGGAAGAGAGAAAACAGAAAATGGAAAAAGTAGAAAAGCTTGTATTAAGGATTAAGGAATGAAAGTAAAACTGTAAAAAGGAGCACAGCTTCAATAAGCAAAGTATCTATTTCATCCCATAACCTACCTAAAAGGTCTAAAGATTTTAAGACTACCATGTGACACATCATGCAGCAAGAGGGTAAGCTATAACTACATGTAAATATGATCTTCCAATCACTGATGCTTCATCTACTCATTAACATGTAGGTTTGCAATGTCTATTACGTGCCAAGCCTGGGGGGAATGGGGGAGGGGAAGGAGACTGCCAAGTGGATGGAGATAACGTCACTGCCTTCATGGAGCTAATAGCTTAATGTAAGCTATAGAGAAGATACATGATTTTAAGACCAAAACAATATGCAATTTCAAATCTTAAGTACTATGAAAAAAGAACATAGAACACTATTAAGAACCTAAAAATGGAAAATGTGATCTATTAATAGATCAGGAAGTCAGACAAAGGTCTCTGAAAAAGGCATATTCAAGTTGACACCTGAAAAAAATAAGAGTTAACTGAGTAAAGGGGTCAGCATGTGCAAAGACTAGTCGGGAATGACCACCCCTACATAACTGGGAACTAACAAAAGTGACCCCCCTGCAAAAGTTACAGGAATGGACAAAACTGCACTTGAGTTGGAGAGAAGATAATGAGCAAAAGAACTGAGAAGAAAAGTTTACAGAGGAAGGAAGAAAATTAGGAATGTCTGTGAGCACTCCAAGTAAGGAAACATTTCAAGAAGGAAGTATTAATAGCAGTCACCTGTGTTAAATAATACTGAGTGGTAAGACAGGCAGAACTAAAAGTTCTCTTAGGTAACAAAATGGAAGTCACTGGTGGCTTAAAAAGTACTGCTTTGTGGTCACATAACTGTATTACCACAATAGCTTAATCAAGAACAGCTATTTGTAAGTTGTCACTAAGTGAAGCCAGAAGCTATTTTTGATGACTCCACCATCTTGCTACTTTTTTTAAGTTCTTTCTTTTTATCCCCCTTCTGTTCTTATTTCGTATTCTTTCTTATACACTGTTCATGCCTACTCTCCAGAAATTATAATGACAAGTTTACAGCCACAGAGCCTTACTATGTTAGAGATGGATGATCCTGCAATTGTCATTTAGACCTAGGGCATTGTTAAAAGAGTTTCATCTCTTTATACCAGGCTTCCTGGTCTATTTCCTCAGTGTGTATCAAAAGTCTAATTTTATGCAAAGAATTGAAATCTCTTGCTTATTCCTATTCTAGAAAATTCTACAGTGTCATAAAAAAGATACTAAAATGCCTTTGCAATTCCTCAAAGTAACTAAAATCACTATCATTTTCTCCTGGAGCCTATACAAATATCTAGGATGAGAGTATTATGCTTTAATCTTAACCTAGTAAGTCTAGCCAAACTCAAATAAAAATTAAGAATAATGTCATTGATAAATTAAGTGACTAATCTTTTAATAATTTATAAGAAATATGTTTAAAGACTAATTCTTCACGCATTTTAAAGGTTTAATTTACAAATGTTCACTTTTTTTTAGGAACATATTAATTATTCAGAGATAAACTTTAACTTCATATTTAATATTAACAGAGCAAAGCTAATTTGTCCCCAACCTACTGACATTTGGCCACATATCAAAGTTTTTAACTGTATTACTAAAAAAGAGCCAACTTTAAAAAATCTGGAATTTCATGTTAAAGAAAATAAGAATTAAAAAATCTCAAACATGCAATGGCTATTCATCAAAAAATATACAATCCATCTACAAATATTTCAATATAGCTCACTATTTCTCAATAGCAACAACACTGGCATCTGAGCTGAACAACGCTTCCCTGTGAAGGGCTGTCCAGCACAATGCATGAAAGACATTTAGCACCCTTGCTCTGTTCCCGTTATCACCATAGTGTTCCCTCCTTTCTAGTCATGGTGATAATCAAAAACAGTCCCCCCAAATTCCAAACACTTTCCCTATGGGTGTTACACAAATTTCACCCCTGACTGAGAACAACTAGTAGCACAGCAACCTCTTTCTCTTAATGAAAATGTCTCTAATGTAGACACCCAGACGTCTGCCTTAACATACAAAGTATATTGAACATAACTTTAACATTTTTTGATAACAGAGGGTCTTGACTATGAACGGTGACTACTATGTCCTGTTGTGATATAATAAAGGTCTTAGAAATTAAAGTGTGTTTTACCTTTGGTCCTATAATAATTGACCCTGGCTGTTTTATTTGAACATAAGACTGTTACTTAGAACACATACTGCTTTATATATTTTTTCCACAATTGTTTTTGGCCAAGGTTATTTTTTCCTAGACTACATCTAGTACATCTATCATTCTCTGAACTTTTCAGAGTACTTTTTATTTGCAAATGACCAAGCTTAAAATGGCTCCAGGCTTCCTAAGAATTAAAGTGCATGGGTGTGGCAATAGCTATCTTATAAGAAATTTTTTCTAACTTACTTTTGCTTTTTTACCTGTGCTATGACTGAAAACTCCAAAGATCTGAATTCAATAAACCATAAATTAATAAAGCAATTGTTACTAAATAATCTTTGAAGACTGCTATATACTACAATATATTCTGATCAAGTATTATAATTATTACAAATAACACTTAAATAACTCACCTGATTTCTTTTAGTCCTTCTCTCTGGATAACTTGAAGAATTTCTTTATGACTCATGGGTGTATTGGGATATTTTTCTAAGACCTGAGAAACAAGTATATAATAACAAATTATTTACTTAAATTCTTATAATTACACATGTAAGCTATATTTCTTCTTATTACAGCTATGTATTAATTTCCTCCAGCACACAGAAATCCAGAGACTTTTCATCCCTTAAATTTTGGGATAATAGATGAAAAATTAATGGACATTCTTTAAATAGGACATTCTTTTCTTCAGTCACAAACCATACATCAAATCCCAAAGCAGAAATTAGTCAAAAAAGATTACTAATTATTATGAACGCATAATATGAAATTATGCTTACTTTCTGCCTCCAACCCCACATGACTACCTGTAGACTTACTGGAAATAGCTTAAAGAGTATCCACCTTTACATTTTCAAACAAAATCTAGTACATTTTGGATGATCAGTAATTCCTTAACCAAAATAAATGAACAATATAAGGAAATTAAACAGTATCTGTGTTCTGGTAAAGAGGATATAAGCAAAATGTATCCTGTCTCTCCTCTTGACTAAAAACCTGGACAAAGGACTAGGAGTAGCTACTTATCTGAGGACTCTGAAAAGGGAAGCAGTTGGTTTCCAGGAGGAAACCAAAACCAGAAGTCCTACTAACCCAGCAGTGAGGTTCCTGGTTTTATTTCCCCTAGGATCACTCAGTTCAGACTCCAAAGCAGTCCCAACTCAGAACTGCACAGTAAGTGCAAACAGAAATGGCTTCAAGAGAAGTCTTCCCTTTTTCTGTCAGAAAAGCAGTCAAGGGGGCCCCAAAAGCCGAGGAAGATCCTCATGGTTTTTTCCCTTTCTCTCAGACCCCACTCCGAAGCAATTCAAAGGCAGCAGCTGTGGCAGTGATGATACCAGCAGTGGCTGAACAGGGACCTAAAACTTCAAGAAAACGGATTCCTTCCAATCCTATGACTGTGGCAGGAATTCCTAAGGTTTACATCCTTTTTTGACTGGTTCCAAATAGGAAAAGGGTACGTCAAGGCTGCATACTGTCACCCTGCTTATTTAACTTATATGCAGAGTACATCATGAGAAATGCTGGGCTGGAAGAAGCACAAGCTGGAATCAAAGTAAACTCCGGGAGTTACTGATAGACAGGGAGGCCTGGCATGCTGCGATTCATGGGGTCGCAAAGACTCGGACACAACTGAGCAACTGAACTGAACTGAACTGAACTGTTGCTTGGCATCAAAGGCAGATGCAACTGTGGAAGTGTGTAGCAAAATGAAATGAAATGAAATCAAAACATGAGTTATTTAGCCATAAAACTAGGAAGAAAGTTCTCTAGGAGGCAGAAAATGTCAGGAAGCTTGTAAAGAGAAAGGAGCTCAAAAAGTGACACCAACTCTTTGCTGCATCTACTGCGAGAATGAAGACCATTCTCAGCAATCAGACTGTCGACATCCCAGAAAATGTCGACATTACCTTGAAGGGACGGACAGTTATTGTGAAGGGCCCCAGAGGCACCCTGCGGAGGGACTTCAATCATATCAATGTAGAACTCAGTCTCCTTGGAAAGAAAAAGAAGAGGCTCTGTGTTGACAAATGGTGGGGAAACAGAAAGGAACTGGCCACTGTTCGCACAATCTGTAGCCACGTACAGAACATGATCAAGGGTGTTACACTGGGCTTCCGTTACAAGATGAGGTCGGTGTATGCCCACTTCCCCATCAACGTTGTTATTCAGGAGAATGGTTCTCTTGTGGAAATCCGAAATTTTTTGGGTGAAAAATACATACGCAGGGTTCAAATGAGGCCAGGGGTTGCCTGTTCAGTATCTCAAGCCCAGAAAGATGAGTTGATTCTTGAAGGAAATGACATTGAACTTGTGTCAAATTCAGCTGCTTTGATTCAGCAAGCCACCACAGTTAAAAACAAGGATATCAGAAAATTTTTGGATGGTATCTATGTTTCTGAAAAAGGAACAGTTCAGCAGGCTGATGAATAAGATCTCAGTGATCCTGCTTCAGAAACAAGATAGCAGATGGTTCTGTGGACTCAGTTGTGATATTTTAAAGAGACAATAAAAACTCTTGATTTGAAAAAAAAAAAAAAAAGTGACACCAATAAGTTCGACAAACACTCCTGGGGTCACCCAAGAACTAAGCATATATGTGGACACGACCCTAAACATACTATCAGGTTCCCAAAGTTAGCACTCAGTGGTGCATATGCAGGAAAGATGGAAACAGAAGTTTTAAAAACTAGACACCAGAATTTTAGTGCACAGAAGGTAGGCTGAAACTTACGACCTGAACCTAAAAGGCCAAATGCCTACTTTAAAAAGCACCCCCAATATCACTCTGAAATAGGTCACTTTCCTATTATGCATAGTATGCTAAAAATAAAAGGCGGGGTTGTTTTTTTTTTTTTTTTTTTCCGGCAGTNTTTTTTTGCGGGGGGCGGGGGTAGGGGGGAGACATACAGAATGTCCCATTGTTACTGGGAAATTTTTCTTCCTAGCCCCCGGGTGGAGGTTGGAAGGAAGTTTTTTTCAGGAGCAGATTAAGTTGGAGTCTTTTCTCCTGATTGTTATGGTTGTTTGGACGGATGCGTGTGCTTTCATTTTGAGGCAAAGTAGTGAAATGTTTTCACATTATGAAGAAAAGAATTGACTGCTTTTGAGTCGACCTTACATGCTGGACCCCCATTCACACACAGCACAAAATAAGTCAGGTTCTTTACAAATGGTATTTTGATAGATGCTGGATTGTTAATCTGTGCCATATTTGTGCCCACTCTTTTAAGAACAATGTAGCATTATGTTCATTTGGATAAATTGTGATTTGACAACTGATTTCAATAAAACATTTGCTTCACTTAAAAAAAATAAAATAAAAAAATAAAAAATAAAAAGCACCCCCAATCCCTCAAATAAAGTACCAACAACATTCTCCATAGGACTCAAATGAGACAGTATCAAAGTTTTACTGCAACAGAAATGTTACAAAAGGAAAAAAGTGCCTAATATACAAATCCAAATCACTCGACATATGAAGAAAAATCTCAGTAACTCAACAAAGGAAAGGACAACCTACAGACAGCAAACTCGAGATGACACAAATGCTGGAATCTTCAGGTAAAGATTTTAAGGCAGCTATTATAACCATGCTGCAAGAAGTGAGAAAGAAATAAAAAAAGGAAGCAAGAAGACTAATCTTAGTGGGAAAAAAATTAAAGCATTAGCAAAGAAGTAAGGTTGATTATACCATTGTGTGTGTACCTGTGTGGTGTATAAAACAAAATTAAAATTAAAGACTAAAAAATGCAATAGAAAGTAAAATCCAAAATTCTCTGGAGAGGCTCAACTGCAGAATGGAGGTAAGAGAGAAAGAGAGTCAGTGAACCTGAAGATTGAGCAATAGAAACTATTCAATTTGACAAACAGAAAAGTTATAGGGGGAAAAAACAAAAAATGGATTAACAGAGCCAATGGGACAATATCAAAAGGTCTAACATTCATGTCACCAGAGTCCCAAAATGAGAAAATAGAGAGTAGCATGCAAAAAAACATAATTTAAAGGAATAGCAGCAAAAGCTTAGCAAATATGGTGAAACATACACACTTACAATTTCAGGAGAACCAATGAACTTCAAACAACATAAATTCAAGGAAATCTATACCCAGATATAACACAACCAAATTACTGAAAACCAAAGAAAATTTTAAAATCTTGAAAGTAGCCAAGGAAAAACAGTATTTCACTTAGGAGAACAACAATTCCAGTGACTCAAGTGGGTTTCTCATCAGAAACCATGAAAGGCAGAAACAGTGAAGTACATTTTTGAGTGCTGAAAGACAAAGACTGTAATTTAAAAATTCCTGTCCAGAAAAAAATATCCTCTAAGAATGAAGAGGAAATTAAGACATTCTTAAAGGAAAATGAAGAATATTTTCCACTAACAGACTTCCTTTAAATTGTTTTCTTGTATGTCAATTTTGTATTCCTCTTTTTCTTTTTATCCAAATTTTAGGCAGAAACTCTCTTTACCTGAATCATTTTCCATTCTTAACCTGGAACCCTTGGCAATGGATGAAAGTGAAAGCTAAAATTGAACCAATCTATATTATACTATCAAAGGAGTTATGAATTAGCATAGCAATTGTATCACAAACAATAGATACAAGACTTTGTGACAGGTATCACTTGAAGTCAGATATCTCAGATCAGCCACTAGGGTATCAAGATGTGATATCAGCAACTATCATTTATAAAGAAGACACAAACAAGTGCTAATCATTCTCTCAGTTAAATGTCTCAGTTCAGTTCAGTTGCTTAGTCGTGTCTGACTCTTTGCGACCCCGTGAATCACAGCACACCAGGCCTCCCCATCCATCACCAACTCTTGGAGTCTACTCAAACTCACGCCCATCAAGTCGGTGACGCCATCCAGGCATCTCATCCTCTGTCGTCCCCTTCTCCTGCCCCCGATCCCTCCCAGCATCAGGGTCTTTTCCAAGGAGTCAACTCTTTGCATCAGGTGGCCAAAGTATTGGAGTTTCAGCTTCAGCATCAGTCCTTCCAATGAACACCCAGGACTGATCTCCTTTAGGATGGACTGGTTGGATCTCCTTGCAGTCCAAGGGACTCTCAAGAGTCT